ATAATATAATCAAAATATCAAAAAAAAATCCAAGATTTAATAATCTCATATAGAAATATTTAAATCTTCAATTATAGAAAATATAAAATCGTAGAATTTATAGAACTATCAAAACTTTCATTTTTTAGTATCGATAATTAAAATCATAATTCGTACAAATCTAGAAAAATAAATTCATATAAAAAAATCAAATTATAGAGAATTATAATCACGATATATTTTTTCACGTCATTTTTACAATTCTCAAAAATCAATATCTATTTCGAAATATTAATAGAATATAATTCGTTTTCTTTTTGGATGAATATCGTACAAACTCAAAATCAATTAAATTTTATTTATAATAAATAAATAAATATATATATATATATCCATAATTCAAATGAAGTATGAATCTAAATTCTCATTTTTCTATTTTATCAAAGATAAATATGAATTATATTATAATAGAAAATACTGAGAAATAGATGATTTCGTCACCGAAACTAATGACTAATTATTTCGTTGTCATTTATGTTGATGCTACAAAGTATGTGGTGTCAAGGAAAATTGCGATAAAGCTTCTACATGATAAGTTTTCTTGAAGAAGATCAGATATAATTATAATTTTCCGATAATCCTGATCAGAGGCTATGATTCGTAGAAACAGCTGTTGTAGCAAAAAGCATTTAATTTTTTGAAACCGGGGGCTCCTTGAAGCGAAATCCGAAAATCGTATGCTGCGGTGACTAGGTTGTGCCTCAACCTCTCGTTGAAGAGTTTCTGGCAAAAGTTGTGTGCAGCAACAACTGGCCTGCAAGTAGAAACGTCAATGCCAAGATGTCGGCTCGGTTTGGCAGGATGCACTGACGTCGTCGAACTGTGTACAACTCGAAACTAGCGGGCCTCGTTGACACACCACGGTCGATTGATTAGTTTGATGTCGCTGCCAACATCATAGTCTGACAACGCCTTCTGAAAAAAAACATTCAGCAGTTCCTGCCTCGCTTCAGTTGAAGAAATACCGCGCGCGGGAAGTACCCACAAACCTTGGGTCGCTGTGGGAGACACTCGGAAACACAAGTTGTCTGCATCGGAGAATTATAACTTCTGAACTCGACACGAGAATCGGATCTCCAAGCCTACCAGCATGGTCTCTGGAAACGCGAACTTTGAGCGCCGAGCTTGTCTCTCTCGGCAATAAGGTCTTTGACACGTGTGAGCACCTGAAATGGCCCCAAAAAGGGTTTCCAGCTCAAAGACATAAGCAAAAGAGCAAGTCACACACGGTCCAGGCAGTCCAGGGCCCAAGGCGTAAAAGTCGCACTCACCGTTATCATCCTGGCAGCCCACAAAGAGCCAGAAGCAGAATCCTGCGAGGTTTTGGGCACCTGGCCTCCCACTGGATCGCTATCATCTTCTTCGAGGAATAGATGACATCTACGTCGACCACCTGAGTGGGGTGGGGGTGTCGGCTTCAAAGCACCCTCGCTGCGAGGCAGGCTTGCGATCTGAGCGCTGAGGGTGACGTGAGAAACATCTCCAAGCTGCTGCTCGCACCATCAGCAACAGCAGGAACAACCAGTTGAAAGCTTTCCAGTTAAGAATTGCAAGACGACGGCACGACACCTGCAGCCCACGACACAAAATCAAAAGCTCAAAAGCCGCTGCTTCAGTCCGCTACCCAACGGCCCAGCCCGCAAATCCCAGAGAGCATCTTGGTGCCCCCAAATAAAGGGCATGACAATTCAGATTTTAGCTTCTGTCTGAGATTCATGGGGGGCGCGCGCTTTTAGGGTCAGGGTCGGTACGCAGCGAGGCTCTTGAGAGGTTTGAGAGTCGAAGGTTGGACTTGGAATCAGTCCTACATCCAAGGTCTAAGCTTTGATAGGCTGTTGAGACTCTTTCGAAGCATTTTGGAAATGAAGACTCTTTTCAAACAAATCTGAGCGGCTGCATCTTGATTGTGAAATTTCCAAGATTCGCGAAAACGGCATTTCATGCGCTGCCTGCACTGCGCAATGGCACATGTGCATGACGTTGTCCGGCGCGGAGTCGGTGTGACTTCGCGATTTGATTTAGCGCGGAGACGATTAAGCGGGTGACCATATGCCAACACATGAGCACGAAGTGAATGATGCACTCTGCCATGCGCACCCCGCGGCGCTACTCCGTGATCTGCTGATCCCCTCTTCTCCCGCTATGCATGAGCCTTTCCATGAACCTTCCATTTCAGCAGCCCAGTGTCTGTGAATAAGGCAACGTATGCGGGTCGCGATGGCTGTTCAAGCGGATTACTGACTTTCTGTTGGCTGGGGCCCGGGCCATCTTCTTTTTGCCCTCCCGGAACTCTAGATCCTTGCCTCCAGCCAGGAAGCCGAGCTTTCTGCTCAAAGACGTCAGCAGCACATCTTATGGCCTTCATCGGTCTTCATCTCGGAGAAGGTGATCTTCAGCCTGGCTGCGGAGAAGCAGGTGCGCAGCGAAGGACCTGTAAACCGACGAATTTCAGCTTCGTCTTTTCGCAACCGGTGCAAGTGGCCGGTTGGTGCCGGAGATGGCGTAATTGCCTCGAAGGCCTGAGCCAAGAAAGGCCAGAGCAAAGGGACCCCCCGCCTTAGGGCCTTGAAGATGTGCTATGAGCCAGCTGTGCAGCTATGAGCGTTTCGGTCTAAAGACGGCCTGTGAGGTGGAGTGTATCCCCGAGTCTCCCCCCGAGAAGCTCCCGCTGAGCCCGCTGCAATTTGACTGGTTGGGGAAGGGGCCGACTTTTCCTTAAAGCCACTGATAGGATGCGGCCACATGACTAGACGGTTTCAGGGATGCATGGCACGCTTCCGAGCATAGAAACACAAGGCTGTGAGAGGAGAGCCTGAGCAACATATGTGCAGAGGGCAAAGGGAAGCTTGCCGATACCTCAAGGTTTCCGGAATCGTGAAGCCGTGTCTCGAACGATCTCGATGGCCTCGCAAACTCGACCTGACCAAAAGAAAGGGCGATTGAGCTCAGGAACATCCAATGCAGCAGGCTGCTTCGGGTGGACTTCTTGAGGAGCTTATGCCCGCGAACTCAACATGGCAAGGATGTAGACGCTGTCCGCGGCTCTCCAAGCGTCGGGGTGCTTTGATGTGTGCAGGGCAATGCAGAGCTGCCTTCCTTCTTCTTTCCGAAGCGGAGAAGGTATTCCTGGCGAGGGCTGCGCAGCGGTGCTAGCTGCACTCTGTCTGGCAAGCACGCAGCCGCGAACATAGAGGACTCACCCAGCAAATCCCGATCCCAACATGTTTACCTTCAACCCGCAAGTTACCCTAAAACTTTCAATTCAATGAGCGTGTCTCCTGCAGCTGCATCCACCAGCCCTCGTCGGTCATGCCGGTGCCGAACAGCTTGTCGATGCCTTGCACTTCCGTGCTCAGTGCCGGCTTTGGACTTTGGATTTGTGCACACACACACCCACACACAAACACGAGCCATCTGCTTCGAGATCGAAACACGGTCTTCGGGGCTTGGCCGCTGCACGACAAGGCGAGTCCGCGACTGCCGTGCTGCGCACGAACTGGGCCAGGCACAGCCTTCTCGAGAGGCCCAGAAGATGATCCAGTCCTGCGGTTTTGGAGCAAAGCGCTTGGCTTCATCGAGACTTAAAGCTTTCGTCAGAATCGCTGGTTGCTTGCTTTCAAAAGCCGCCGCCGCCCTGGGGTCCCGGCTCCCGCAAGGTTCTGGTTCGGCCTGGGGTTGGTCTTCGCCAGGCGCATGAGGATCTCGCGCACCTGGGCCCAGTGCTGGGCGCCGGCCGGCGGGCGGCTCTGGGCCTTTTGCCGGGCCTTGTAGATATCCGGCTCGTCCATCCGCGCAAAGAGGGTTTTCAGAGCACCCCTGGGCAATGCGAGGCGATGGCTCCAAACGCAGCGGCCGTCTGCAGCACTCAGGAAGAGTTCAAGACAGTCAGACTGCCACTTCTGTTGAAACGTGTCGCAGGCTCCCACTCCAGTCCACAACTTGAAGCAGGCAAAAACTGGTAGGGGTTGTGGGCAGTTGTGGGATGTGGTAGAAACCCTGCCGAAGCGGAAGTTCCTCCGAAGCAGCGCTCAAGGCCCCCGCTCCATCATCTCGATTTCCATCTCCCGCATCTTCTTGCGATTCTTCCTTTGCACAATCCACTTCACTCCAGGAGCGCTCCACTGCAATTCTTGAGACTGCTGCTTGTGAAGCGGAAGAGCTGTGTGGTTGCCCTTCAAACTTCCATGAGCTTCAAGCCAGAACAGTTGCTGATAACAATCGTGCCCTCAACACATCGAAGCCACCGCGTGCCCAACACCACCGGGATGATATCTCCACGAACTGACTCCTTCTGGCAGCGACAACCCCTGAAAGAGGTCCGAAGAAACAGACTAAAGTAAAGCTCACAGCTCCCTTTCGGCACCCGAAATCCGTCTGGGGTCACGGCTTCAGCAGACCTGCTTCGGCTCCCATGCCGACTGCCTAAGAACAAAGCCGGAGCGGATCACTGGATCAAACTCCTGAGCCCTGTTTGCCAAGTTCTGCCCTTTTGTTTTGATGCCTTGCTTACACTTACGCACATAGAAATCAAGATCAGGAGGCAAAGGCTCTCAAGCACGCCTCTCGCCCCCGACCAGGACCCCGACCCTCGATGCCACGGTCTCTCGAGAGTTCCTCATCCGTGACCTGGCAGGAGAGCTTGGATGAGCTTGGTCAGACGTCGCGTCAGAAGTGAACCTCCAACTCCAAGCCTCTACATGCTCACAGCCGCTCCCTCGCCTCCTCCCTGCAGCAGTCGCCACCAGAACTGTGGCGGCCGCCGCGAGTGCAGATGGCGCACCTTCTCAGGTGCGACAGCTGCGGTGAGCGCTACTCTGGCTCACACCATGGTTGCAGTTCAGCTCACACAAAGCCACCGCCACAAGGCCCAGTCCGAGTCCTAAACCGCCACTACATCGACCCACGCCTCGCTCCGGAGCTTTGCGGGTTGTCCGTGCCGGAGTGGCAAGCCTGTGCTGGAGTTGAGCTTGTGGAGTTCTGAACTTCCCAATGGAGCCACGCGCTGCTCCTACTCTAACAGACTCTAAGATCCTTCTACTGGACGCCCAAAGCGAAATGCCAACGTAAGCTGCGGAGCCTCTCCAAACACTCACATGAGAGAGGTATGCCCGACCCATCCTCGCAGGCAGTGCTGGTGGCGCTGGTCCCAAGGTAAATGCCTGGCGATGGGTACACGGCCTGTGAAGGCAACAACGCTTTTCGAGGAGCACGGGCCTCGGCGAGGAGCGCCATGCTGCGGCTGTCACTTCAGGCTTGGAGGCTGTGCTGAAGATGGCGGTTTTTTTTTCCTGGGCTTCTCGTGGGCTGCGTCCTTGAAAGTCGTTTGTCTGTGCTTGCAGGCATGGCTTTCGTGCGCTAGATCACGTCCGCGAGCCAGAAGAGTCGGAGACGGGCCATGCGCAAACAGGCCCGGGGTTTTCGAAACGTCAAGCCTCAGACCACCTTTCACTTCATTCTCCCAGGGTTTTCGGTCTTCTGGCCGATTCCTACTTTTGGTGGCTACTTGGAGGCTCAGGGGATTCACAAAGTGGGTGAAGACCCACCCGATGATGAAGATGCCTCGAACTCCCAGAGAGATTCGACTTTGGTCAAGCAGCAAACGTGGCATCGGCGCTTTGCACCCTTCTTTTCTGTGGCGGCCCACTGCACTCGGCGCCGGTTGTGGAAGCAATCGGCTCAAGCCTTCAGAGCTTTGCCCTGGGCTGGGAGCGCGGCTCAGTTGCAGGACAGAGAGGCTGGCGAGGCAAGAAAGGAGATTCGGTTTGAGCCTGGGATATTCTTCGTCCGGATGGGGTTTGCAAAAGGGCATAGTGCATGGTCACACAGTCGATAAAAAGTGTGAGGCGTCGAGGATGCTCGCACACCACTGACCTGCGTATCCTGCGAAACCTACTCGTCCGTCTCCTTGCGCAGGAGATCTCCTTGATCCACAGCGAACATCGCTCAAAGAGAAACATTGACAGGTCTCGTCCTACCGGGAAAGGAGAAAGAAGCTGCTGGATATAACCGGGCTCTGTGGCAGAAGGGTGTGAACGCGTAGCCATCCGCCTTGTAGAACTTGCTTTGGAACTCTACCTCAGCAGGCAAAACAAGATTTACATACTAGATCTGCAGCAACAAGAACAGCAAAAGCCTGAGGACACCTCGTTTCAGTCCTTCCACACCTTGCCGTCTTCTGAAACCCAACTGCCGAGAGCAGCAGAAACGCAGTCGTACTCGGTCGGGTGAGGTGCCAGGACAAAGCGACACAACGGAGCCCCCTTAAAAGACTTCGCTGCAGGCGGAGCCACCCAGTGGAGGCGCAGAGTGTGCAGGAAGCACTCCTCAGTATTGGCTAAGCTTGCTTTTGAGAAGAGTTGACACTGGGAGTTTTAGGCCCGTCTCTCTTCCAAACCGAGGTTCCATGACGTCCATGCCCAGCAAGATGCCCACTGTCGAGGCGAACCAGAAGTAGAAGGCCACGTAGGTGGCAATGATATTCCTGAGCTCATCGCGTGGTTCCGCAAGACTGCGGAACCACGTCTAGTGGGGAGAAAGGTTCGGGATTCGACACCTCCGGCACACATTCTCCCCTCCCCCTCTGCTGCTGGGGCGCAGTGGGAAGGGTGCTCCCATCCCCGAAAGCAGCGTCATGCCGAAGAAGACCAGGGAGAGCCTCAGCTCTCCGGGTCTCGGAGGGGGGCGTGAGAGCTGAAAAAACGAGAGCCTTGCTTCTAGACTTATAGGTTATAGTGTATATAGTTTTATTTCAGTTCAAGAGCCTTAGCAGCCTCTTTAGGCTTGGCCCGTCAAAAAAGTCCCTCTAACTCGGGGGAGCCCGGAAGCTGCTGGTGCGCCAGGGAGAGCGCCCAGAGCCGGAGGTAGGAGGCCGTGTGCGACACAGTTCCCAGGACGTACTCGATGGTCTCAATCACCTTCCGGCCCGAACCCGGGGCCACGGCTTTCCCTTCTTCGCTCTTCCTCTTTTCTTGGGCTTCATGGAAAGGTGGTGCTTTGGGGAGGTGGGGCGGGGGCCGGCCTGGTGGATGACGCATTCGGTGAGGTCGAACTCCTCCTCCTCTTCCTGGAAACGGAGCGAACACGCTTCGGAGGCAAAAAACTCAAAAAAGGCCTCCATCAGCGGATGCTACAGTATCTGCGGATCAAACGCCGAGTGGAGTCTTAGTCTTCGCCACCACAGAAAATGCAGATATCATCAGAAATGCCCCCCCACTCCCCCGCCGCAACAACAGGCAAGATTTTGCTCAACTGCCTGGGCATAGGGCGAAAACCCGAAGCTGAAAGGTGGCCTGGTGTGCGGGAAACTTGCTCCAACTCTTGAAGTCGTCCGATTCCGTCCCATCCTCCAGAACGCCCTGCTTCCTGAATCCCGAAATCCCAGGCATGTACCCACTTACCCCAGCAGGGGCAGGAACTTGCTTGAAGAACATCCCGGGGCCTCGTCCTCGGACCTCAGCGACTCCTCGTCGCTGAGCGGCATGTGCCCACCTCCGGCAATTTGTGTTTTGAGAGCAAGACAGGCCCAAACTACAACGAGAATTTGGGCTCTCTGTGACGTGACGGCGTGACTTCGTCATTCTTTGATCTCTGGAGTCACAAAAGAACCGCCCTGCGAAGTCCCGAAGGCCCCGCTTCCGAAGCCGCGGAGGCCGCCCGGGCCCATGCACGGCGGAGGCCGGCTGGCCTGCGCGGGAGCTGAGGTCAGGGCACTTTCTCAAGTTTTCCGACACCTTTTCGGAGTTTCGACACGTGAGGCTTGCTGGGCTTTGCAAGCGCCTTGTGCCGCATGTTCAAGATGACGGGTTTTGGAATCCTCGGGATCGGCATCGGCCAGAGCCGCGACACAGCACCGCGCCGTATTGTGGAAATCCGGCCCGGTTGCAGCATGAAGGGCACCGCCAACATGCAAGTTCCCATCAGCAGCTTCCTCGGCAGAAAGCTTCGATCGGGCCGCTGGGCTTCCAACGTAACAGGGTCCTTGCTTTGTAACACAGGACTCGGGTCGTCAGGTGCAGATCGGGGCAGGCTTCCCAGCCTTCGGCTGCCCCGGATAGACCCTGGCCCTAAACCGGGACCAAAGTGCGGCAGGTCGTTGCCAAACATGGGATTCGGGTCTTCTGTCCACATCGCCATGGCCTCAGCCACAGGAGAAATTCCAACTTGAAGCCTTTAAGATCCCGAAACAGGGCGGGAAAAACACCAAAAGAGAACCGAGAGCTGAGGCCGCGGCAATCATGGAGTTGATGATGCTGGGCGGGTTGCTCATGGGCGTGACCCACTTGTAGAGGATCCTCCAGCCAGGCTCGGACGGAGGCCCGGTTTGGGCTTTTGGCTCTTTTTCCCGAGCGGAACGCTTGTGTGTTTCAATTGTGCCGGGGCACATGTAGTCCATGAACCCGAAGAATCCCAGCATGAAGATCAGCATCGGCACCTGAGCTTCGTCGCTCGCTCAGCACAGAAAAAACGGAGAGCCTCGGAGCAGCCCCTCCCCAAACTCACCAAGCGAGCGACAGGCCGATGTCGACAAAAAGCGCCCGACTTTCTTTTCAACGCCTCGGACGAGTCACACATTCGCACCAGAAGTCCACCATGTTCTTGTCGTACATGGCGTTGGCGAAGCGGAGCCTACATCGGGATGCCCGATATGAGCTGGGGGACTTAAGAGCTCGGTCAGGCCAAAGGCACAGCAGGCCGACGAACATTTGCACCACGCCGAGGACAACGGAGAGCTTCATCTTCATGGAGTTCAAGTAGACCAGCTCGTTCTGGGCTCCGTGCCTCGTTTTGCCCGGAGCGGGCTTATAACGACCGGCCCCAACCCCCCAAAGCGCTAGCAGATATGCCAAGGCTCCAAGCTGGGTCCAGGCCGAAGGGGTAGGGTCCCAGTCCTCCCCGGTTCTCCTCGCAGCGGGGAAGCGGGCTGGGCTTCTTCTTTGGGCGCTCGGGATGGCTCGATACCAGCAAAACTGCGAGGGCATTCATGGGGTTTAGGGTTTATAGGGTATAGGGTTTAGGGCATCTTCAGTCTCTAATAACACCAGTCAACAATAGCACCAGAAGTGCTGGAGCCTTCCTCACAACTAGAGAGTCAATTGCCATTGCTGTGAGTACAATTATGTCGTTATGGTCATGCAAAAAGTCAAAAACATTAATACCTATAATCACAAGATGTAGAACCAGCTATCAGCGATGACTTCGAACAGCATATAAACACCCCAGCATAACAGCTCTCCCTGTCGAACTTCGGCTGCAAGACCACGGTCTCATGCCTCTGCAGAGAGCCAACAAAGATCTCAAGTACTACGAGGCTGCTCTGATCATGATCTACGGTTGCACGAACATGTACCGTGAGTGCGAATGCCGCTGCTCTTGCCGTTTGTATGAACAATCTTCTCGTCAAATCCATGAACGCATGTCGGGTTGATAATGAAACGTTCGTTTTTACGAAGCAGGATTCCCCAAGCGAGAGCCCAACGTCTCCGCCGGGGCTCTGCTTGGCATCCGCAGGAATCTCGCTCCAGCGCGACTGGAAAAGGCTTAGGCCCAGGGAGAAGAAGTCGTTGTAGAGGAAGCCTCAACAGTAGCAAAGCTCTGCAGCAAGTCCCAAAACCCCTCTCAATCACCCTGCATGGTTCTTAGACATCTCAGATAGTCTAGCCCCGATCCGGCCACTGAAGCCGCGATTTCGTTAGACTCGGACGTCCTGCGTGGCTTAGTCTCTGCACGCGACTGCCCTACAGGCCTTAGAGGTCTCGTGCAACGTCCTCCGAAATTAGCCTTCCTTCCTTGATGTGGTGTAGTCGTGCTCGGAACAATGCCTTCCCTTGTTCCGCTTGTGTGCATCCCAACTCTTTTGAGCATTTCCTCTGCCTTCTCCTTCCTTGTCTACGGGAATGGCTCCTGCTCGCCGCGTCTGCCGGCAAGACATGTTTGCGCGGCTTCCGGTTCTTAGGCAAGGGCTGTGGGAACCGTGCATGATGTTGCGAAAGAAACAGCAAAGTTTGGACATGCTTACAGAAGGGTGAGAAGTAACGGACGGGCAGAGGAAATAGAGCCCATGTGGACCAAAAATGCGACCAGGAATGCAAAGCTTTTTCAACACCGCAGCCGAAACATCCTGTGAATACTCCTCTCCACAACCTAGTAGATCCGAGACATTGGCCGCCCTTCAAGCTCCCGAGAAACGGCAAGTCCCCTGGCCGAGATGCCGCAGTAGACGGCAAAGACCCCCATCATTGTGAGGATGTACCGCGCTTGATACCTGGTGCTTGAGAGGTCCACTCACTCGGGAAAAGTGCTCGGGTTGTGCCGGGCCGCAGCGTGGGGAAGCTGTACTTCAGCTCGTCCTTCTTGACCATGGCGAAGATGCCAACAGAGAGCAGCATAAGCCCGTGACCAATATCTCCGTACCTTGGCCGAATTGAGAAATTCAGGATCTCAGCAATGAACTGACTCTAAACCTCTTGGGGTGTGAGCTTTCGGGTGGAGTCAATGCTCAAAAACACCCTCTGGAAGATAAAACCTCTTGCAGCTTCGTGCACATTACGCCGAAGAGGAAAGGGAACGTGACGAGGGTAAAGAGCGCCGGGTTGGCCTCTTGGTACCTGGGACACCAAAAATTCTTTGCGCATGTTTGGTTCGACCTTCCCGCCAGCCTTGGCAGGCCGTAGGTGTCCACGAGGGTCTGGAAGATAGACGTGAACTCGTTCCTTCGTTCCGAATGACCGAGGGAGGGAGTAGTTAATGCAGATTCTTAAGGTCTCCGCATGAAGAACTCATCGGGCCACCCTGGAAACAGAGAAAGCAGTACCACTCCGATCTTTGCAAATACCTTTCTTCCAGTCATTCTCGCATTCTACAACGGTGTAGAGGAGAGGCCTCTTGAACTGGGATTGCAGTTTTGAGGACATGTGCAGACCAAAGAAGTAGTCATTGTGGGAAGAAGCGTCTGCTTTCCCACCAGGGCCTTCAAGCAACCCCGGACTGCTCACTGCCAGAGAGGCCCCCAACCCATAAGAAAGCATTCGGGGTCTGGGCATCCGGTGCTAGATGCTCGAAAGGTCTGGGCTCTGCAGCCGAGAAGCACGCGGATGTACCTCAGTGGAGGGGGTTAGCCGCAGCGCATTGCAGGGACGCTCGGGGGGGCCTTCCCAGGAGTTGGCTCTGAAGGCCCTGGTTGGCCTCGAAGCACGAGCAGTTCTTAAGTCGGTGTGGCAGGGTGTTGCTCACCGTAACCTGGGTGAAAACTAACAGAGCGAGCCGAGCCCTGAAGCCAAAAAGAAGTCCGATTCTCCTCCTGCGCCCAAGCCGCGTCGGGGCCTGCTTCCGGGGTGGGCTCCGATGTGGCATCAGCCTTGACAGCGGACGCCCGAGACAAGACTAACCCCTGACCTCATCCTGTGAATTGCTCTGAAGTCTATGTTTGACCCAGAACCCCGAACCACTTATTCCCCGAAGCTCCATTGCTAGCGGTCTCAGCCAGGTGGCACCGCAGAGGAATGGCCCCGTTGCGATGCAAAGTGCTGGGTGCACAGAGCCCGGATGTTGTCCTTGCGGCGAGAAGTGGGGGCAGGTTGGTATACGGGCGGGGCCTGTTTGGGCTTGGATGTTTCTCTCGCTCTCGTGGACGCTGCACGGGGAGGCTTCTGGGCCGAATGGTGTATCCCTGCTTGCACCCGGGTCCTCTTCTGCTGCGGGGTACCAGCAGCTGGCGCGCAGGTTCATGTTCCCCTCGAAGAGGTTCCTTAATTTTGTTTGCCTCTCTTTGCATGGCCCCGAGCATAAGCCCTAAAAAACACGTCGCCGAACCCTCGGCGCCCGAAAAAGGAAGGCCAGGGCCTTGGGTCTTGGGCGCCGCCAAGTCGCAGGGTGTGGTAAATGGCCTTCTCCTTGACGCAGAAGAGCCTGGCTGCTTCTCTTGGCCTTTTTCGGGGGGAGGGCAAATATCTCTGGGGGGAAAGGAGGTTTTGCAGAGCCGGAAGTTGAAAGTCCTACTGCCTCCGTGGATTAGAATTGCCCAGCTTCGCGTGACTTCGGAGCGAGCCAATCCGAAATGTTGTTTGAGAACCCCCGAATCCCAACTCCCTTGAACTCCTTCTATGCGATTTACCCTAACCCAAAAAAAACGGAATCCTGTCATCTTCAGCCTCCCAGAACCAGAATCCGAAAGAACCGGCCCGTTGCCTCCGGTCTCTGCGTCGCTACAACCCAGACCCCAAGACCCTGAACCCCAGGCCCCAAACCGCCCAAACCCCGAAAACCCTACGTTCTCCGATCCAGAACCCCAAAAACCCTCACAAAGCCCTCAAACCTTCAGAATCCCAAAACCCTAAAACCCGAAAAAAAAATCCTGAAGCCCTTTTGCCCAAAAAACCCTAAACCCCAAAAAATGCCGAGCACGCCACCCCCCCTTCCCGGGCCTCCACTCTTCGATCAAAGAGTCCCGGCCACGTCCTGTGGGCTCCAGCAGCGAGGCGGCCTCGGAAGGGGGCGGACGGGAACAAACAGGGGGAACCCTACCATAGAGCCATCTTGTCTCCCTTAAAGGGCACCCTACTATCTCCCTTAAAGGGAATTCACATCAAAAAAAGGAGGGACCTGCTGGGAACCCCAAAAGAGGAGGGACTCCTGCTCCTTTCAAGGGGTGCCCTGGAAGGCATACCGTAAGTAGAAGGCATTCTGCAAGGCTAAGGGGTAAAAACAAACTGAGGAAGACTCTAAGGGGGGAATGCTGTAAAGGTGCCATAGGGGGTGCCATATATATATATATATATGTGTGTGTGTATATATATATGTGTGTGTGTATATATATATATCTATGAAATGGTATGCATGGGGGGATTTGGATGCCTTCCTTACAGAGCTTCGGGTTTCGGGCCTAGGGGGGCTCTGTCGGATTCTCTCGCTGGGCTTATGGATTACCTTAGTTTTTCGGCGCTTGTTTTAAACCCTACTTGAGTTTGTAGCGATCTTTCGAAAGCTGGTAGGTTAGACCCTAAACCCAAAACTGCGGGGGCTGGCGCACTGGCTGGCGCAGGGTTCGGACTCTCAGATCCTGTCGCGTCTAAACCCTAAACTTGATAGTTCACGGTAAGGGCGTAATCTCGTTTTTTGGCCCCTCGAAACGATTTCGATCGCCACACCCCGGGGCCTCGCTGTGCACAAAGTGCTCGTGGGCCTCGCAGTGTCCGTTGTTGCATGGATACAGAGTTCCCAATTGTTGGAACGCAGGTTTTTTTGGTGGAGGGGGGGTACAGTTGGCAACTATTTAACACATAATACCAAAAGCCCTAAGGACTAAGACAAACTAATTATTCACTACACGACATGAGTGTTTTCAGGTTTTTTTCTGAAGGTTCACAGACCTTTGTTCTGGCCCTCTGCGCTGATGAAGGGTGAGCTTCACAGATTGACGTTTGACCACCAGGACGTCTCTTCCTGAAGCAAGGTTTTGGGCGCCTGGGGTTTGGAGGGCGGGTCGAAACCGCCGGTATTGGTCAGACTCCAAACTCCTGTCTTCCAGACGCTCTCAACCCTCACAGAGCTCCGAATACAAAACTGAGTCGTGCCTTCAAAAGCCTTCGTTGATCCTCCACCTGCCCAGGCTGCAGTTTTAGGAGGCGTCCAGGCTGGGCTAAGTTTCGATGATCCTCAAAGGCCCTGCTTCCATGGGAGCCTACTGCCAACAGGGTCACAGCATATTTAAGGTCTTTTGAGGTTTAGCTCCCCACCAAGGGCGCCTGCACCTTCAGGCTGCTGTGCCTCTCCTGGGCCGCGGTGCGACTCGCCGGCCAGCGGTAGGTGTGCACGCCGAAGGAGGAGCCTCGTTCCAACTGAGGCTCCCCGAAGCAAGCGCCCCCCCCCCTCCGAAGTCTCGCTTCTCTATAGAGTTCAATGTCGCTGCCCTTTGAAACGAGCCTTTTGACGGTTCAACTAGAACTTGACGCGGGCCATTCTCCGGCTTAAACGGGCTTGGGGTGAGGGTGTAAGGTGTGGAGTCTTAGGTTTGAGGCTTCATTTTCACCTCTCCCGAAGGGATCAAGAAGCATACGGAGTCGAGCCTTGCGGCCAAAGGTTCCAGAAGTGCAAGGAACTTCAGAATCTGGGAACTCTCAGACAAGCCTGAAAGCCTACATCAAGGCCTGGACTCTAAAGCCTCAGTCCCTAAGCAGATTCCTAAAGGAGGGACTCCAGGACTCTAGGTGAAGACTATGAGAGTAACTCTTATTCCGATCCCCTCCCCAATCTTAAACGGGCGGAGGGGGGCAGATCTTGTTGATCTTCTCGCTCATGGCAGACGCTGCGCTTCCCATCCGGTGGTCCTCTCAAGTTTTTGGGCAGAGAGGAGGGGAAAAAATGGGGGAGAAGGTTAGGTAAAGAGGTGTTGGGGCACCAAGAGCTTCGGAAACTTAGGACTCTTTGAGGGCTTCTGCGGCTTTCGACGGTTTCGGGCATCAGATCCAGGGGGGTCGAGGTTGCTGGGCCTGGTCTGCGGGGGTCATATGGCGGAAGATGTGCAAAAAAAAACCTCAAAGTGGCCAGTCAAAAGCTTGGAGGCTTGGGGTTTTCCGATCTGCATGCTTTGGTCTAGCTTCGGCGCCAAGCCCCAGAATCGAACATCTAAACTCGTAAACCCCCAAGCCCAAAGCCCGGACAGCCCGGGAAAGCCCCGAAAGCTCGAGAAAGACCCCCTAGGGGCCTGGAAGTAGATCACAAACACGGACTTGTGGACTTCGCGCCCCGTCTTGGGATCTTGCATGGGCTCGAAGATTTGCCTCGGGCTTCCGGGCTTCCGGCTTTTGAGCAATTACGGGTTTAGGGCTTACTGCTCCCGGGTTTGTTGAAGATGACCTTGGCCCAAGTCACCTTGTCCTGGGCAGTTCGATAGATGTGATGGCAGGTGATGGTCCTAGTTCAAACACAGGCCCATCGGCATTGCGGCAGCCAGGCTGCTGAAAGTGGGTGAAGGTGTTGCCGCGGGTGGCTCTGAACAGCATTCGCGCGAACCTGTCCTGCTCCTCTTGGTGGATGACGCCGGCGATGCTGCTGAACATCGTCTCCAGCGTCCTTCTGCTCGACACACCACGCTCCTCATCGAGAAGCGACCTCTGGAAGGGAAAATCGCCACAACCACAGCCAGGATCTATAGAGCATCTTAGATATCTTAGCGGTTTGGGATCATCTCTCTGGGGGTACAGGGGCCTCCCAAAAACTCCTACGGACTGCCCGAACCTGGAAGCTTCGTACTCGAACTCGTCTTCCTCCGGGCCCGAGGATCTTCTGGAGGATGCCTTTGTAGCGGGAAGTGCGTCCGGGGTGGGAGGGGGGTTCAGGCGACGGTGTGACCGCACGTGCTCGGGAAAGAGAGTGGAAGCCAACATTACAATCCGGCCGGTGCTTCCTTAATAAACCTCAGAACTCTTGCAATCTGCAATTGTCAAACTCCACAGCCACAGAGACCTTTCCCCAAAAAGCCCCCCCCCACGCTCGCTGTCTGCCCCCCCTTGCTCTCCGGCACCTGCGGGACCTGTGCCATGGAGGCAATGGCCGTCTGTACAACGTAGCACTCCTCCAGGGCGCTGTTCCGCCGCTCCTCGGAATCGCGGTTTCTGGGGATTTTGAGCGGTTTTTTGAATTCGCGAACAAAATGGAAGCGAACCAAAAACAAAGCGCACCCCGGATTTCCCCCGGCTCTCCTGCAGCTTCGCGTTGTTCTCCTTGAACTGAATGAACTCCTGGAAGGGAAGGCAGCGATTCCCCCCACTCACGCAAACAAAGGCGGGGCCCCCTCTGAGAGCACTCCGCAAAGTCTGGGACCTTTGTGCTGAAACCTCCGAAAGCCTTGCC